AGCTAAAAGATAGAGCGAAATCAGGGTTACAAAACGGCTAATTCAGTTTTTCTTACTTTCAAAACATCAACACAAGAAATCATTTTTGAGTTTAGAAAGTTTACATTTTTTTCGACTTTCGTCTATTTGGCTTAGTTTTCTTCATTGAAGTTCTGAAATTATAGTTTAGGTATGATTTTGTAGAGTATTTCGCCGTGCATCTTTTAAAAAAAGCATCGAGTCTCGGAAACAAATTCAAATCAAGTTATAATTTTTTGCAAATGACCGCGAACTTTTTGCTTAACCTAGTATTCGCGTATTCTCGTGTATTGCCAATGACAATACACCAAGCCCAGCATTTTTTATAGAAATTTATATATTTGCGTATTCTCGATTATTCTCGTGTATTGCCAATGAGAATACACCACGCCTGTACATTATGTATATTATGTATATGCTGTGATGTATACTCTTCGACTGATACGAAGGAAAAAGAACGAAGAAAGCATGACATCACACACTAGAGTCTTAAAATATATACTATATAGATATAACGCACATTGTAATGAGACTACATATAACGTAAATAAAAAAACTAAATAGCAAATAGAAAATAATTTAGCAGCGGTGATTGCATGCTCTTTTTTTTGCAGTAAAATAGCATGTCTTTTTCATGTCTATTTTCTAATGAAATAGTATGTGCACCTATAAAAAGATAATTAAACACGTGAGAAAAATCTGTCACCAATAAGAGACCCAAGTCTATATAGTGACAATCAGCGGTAATGATTCTAATTTGCTGTAGAGGAAAATGCAATAGCTTTAAATTTAATAAGACATAAGAGAGAGGTGTTGAATGAACGTTCTATTCCTTTTTTGTGGGGAAAAACTCAGTTTGACCCATTTTATTATGTGTTATTAACCATAAAACAACAGATGAATCTGTCTTCTTTTTTTTGTTATACAGTGACGACTCTCTCAATCATTTTTTTCTCTCTTATAAACTGATAAATTTCAAAAACAAACAAACGGGTGATCAATGTTGATTTGTTCCCTCTTTAGAACGAAAACTGTAAAATGATAATATTATTTAAAGGATAAAACATCTCATCTTACGGAAATGAAGAATAGGTTTGACTACAGCACTGGATTCCAAATTCATACATCGTTTTTAATTAAATTCACACTAACAATGGCGTCGCAAAAGTAAACCACTTTTTTTGCGTTTTCATATCGCCGGAAAAAAATAAAGTTAGTTTTGAGTTGTTGAAAAGTGCTTTTTCGCATTCAGCACACTCGATAACCCGGAAGATTTTCTATTTTGCGTGAGAGATACTTCCTACAGTTTAGGAAAATTTTCCTACACAAGTTTTATTGCGCCATTTTGTTTCAAAATTTTTCCTAAACTTTTCGAAGTACCCTTCACCAAAAATAGAAAATCTTCTGAATTGCCGAGTGTGCTGAATACGAAAAAAGCACTTTTCAGCAACTCAAAACCAATTTTAGTTTTTTTTGTTCTGGTGATATGAGAGCTCTTCCCCGTCTATGTGCATTTTCCTCAGTTTATTTAGACCCCTTTGCAAACAGTCATTCGCTTTGTGCCAACTTTGTCTACCATCAGAGTTGTAACCGGGCCCGTGCCGTACCGGACCAGTTGAGTGAATTGGACCGGCCGGTTTTTACCGGTTTCACAAAGTTGTGCATATTCGTTCATTTTTCATCAGAAAGATACCATGTATGGGTGCTTAGTAGTTATTTTAAAGGAAAGAGTGACAATTTTATTTGAAATTTTTTTATATTTTAATAATTTTATTGTAAATTTTTTCTTTTTATTCTTTCAATTTGTTATCAAAGACAAAGTCATATTATTTATTGTTTAAAATATCTTAGTAATCGGAACATTGTCACCTATTGGCGTTTGTATGCTTTTATCTTTTTTCTTTAATGTTAATCTAATTTTTTACTTTCGATATGGCATAGTGAATCTCTTCCCAAATTTATTTTCAAATTATTCGTGACGTTTCGTCATTCAATAAATGACTGCTTGAGACAGACTATTACATTTATACACTAACTGTACATATACTCTTCGAAACAATACAAATTAAATAAAACTAACTTGACGGTTCTTTTTCCTGTTTCTTCTTTCTTTCTTAACTCTTTAATAATGATACGGAACAGGCCGGTATAGCAATACACTTGATATGGAAATGATTCATTCACTCAGTGTCCGGAGCATTATTAGGTAGACAGGCGTAAAAATCTGTAGGTATTCAGAACAAAAGTTTGTCTCTAATATCAAAGTTATTACTTGAAAAAACTTGATGAACTCGCCGGTTTTTATCGGTCTGAAAATATTTTTAGACCGGCCGGTGACTGACCGGACCGGTCTAGTATTTCCAGATCGGTTACAACTCTGCTCTGCATAGGTTGACGTCATTTAAGTAATGATGTTTCTGTGCAAAAATGATGCTAGTATGAGAAACTATTGAAGTGTAACGATTTAGTTCTGCGTCATGTTAATCTAAATTGCAATAACGTGGGTGTAACGCGATGCAAGATCTAAGAACTATTGCAAATCTATGTCAGAACAGTTCTGTTTTACCATAATGATGTTTTATTTATTCCAGAATGGTTTTTGAAACTTTTCGCATTAATTCAGGAGAAAGTACTCTATGATACATCTAAAGATATCGGATAAAGAATTTTTTTCTTCCGGAAAGATATTGCTGTTTCAGAGGAGAAGAGTGTGTTGTTTGATATGTGAAAAGATAATTCGACCACTGGAATTTATCTGTTAGCGTACTAGTTGAACTTCAGGCATTTCTCACCCACCATGAATTCATTACACTAGAATGAATTTACTAAGTCTGGGCTCTGTTTGTAGCGACCTAGTGCGTCCAGTCTGGGATCCTTTTTAAACGAAAGTTTCAGTTATTCTTTGCTATTTTTATTTTTCAGTAATTGTCAACATATATTAATAGCGGTAATACGAAGAAAAATTTGAATGACAAATGGTTACACTAATTTCTGCATGCTTACATGCCTATGGAATATGGAAAGTAAGGATAGGAACCGTAAGGATCTCATATTCGATGATACATACACATGCACATAAAAATAAGTAGAGCTAGTTAATCGGTTGAGTATACTGACAATAAAACAACTGCATTCGTTTTTAAGATAAAAAAACAAACAAGGAGAAGCGAGATTCCGTTTCCATAATTATTCTATTGTTTAACAACTAGTCAATTTTTGAACGAAAACTTATTGCTATTGCCATCTTGATTATTTAATCTTTATTGACCATAAACTTTTGCGTACATAATCAACGTACGATGCAAATACCAGACGTAAAAGGCCAAGCCAATACATGAGACTACACATAACGCTACTGAAATTAAATTCCATATTTTAGCACGACGTGAATAACGACGTGCTTTATCTAAAAATTGGACATCAGCTTTAGCTGATGATTTCAAACTATAGGCCAATGCAACAATACCTAAACAAAGAAAAAAATTAAAACAAACAATTAAAAACGATCAGAAAGTACTTACCAGATGCCGGACACAAACAAATAAACGAGATTAATGAAAATACAAAATAATGGCGAATCGGAGTAGTTGGATTATTTTTATCTGTTACGAAATTAATATTGTTCTCATCTAAAGCAAGACAGAGAGTTATACTCTTCGCTCTCATAAAGAAAGAGTTAACGTACCATCAGTCATTTGTGCTTTTTGATAAGTTGTATATGCCATTTGAGATAATTAAATAAGTGCGCGAAGAATACAGTATTAATCTAATACTGAAAAAGGGAATAACTAATGTGGAATAAGTAGTGTTTTCTAATCTAGAACTTTTATATTGCTTTCTCTTTTCCCTTTTTTGTCAGATGTCGTGCTATCAAGTACGTTGAAAATTTTCTGTTTAATTTATGGCGTAGATAAATCTGAAAATACTTATAGAAGGAAAAAAGTAGAGAAAAAGGTGCTACGGAAGAGGTAGTCGACAGAAAGACAACAGGAGCAGCAGATAAAAAAATTGTTCTATACGAGTGTGAGATTAATTTTCAGATTTCTCTACGTCATAAATCAATCAGAAGGCTTACAGCCTACTTGGCGATGCCACACTGTAAAAAATAGTCGTAGATTAATGAACTATCAAAAAGGGTTTAGTGAGACCAATAAACCTTTTAAAAAACGCTTTTCCGTTTTTTATTATCCAAAAAACTAAAAAGCATTCGTGACGGATGCGCCCGTTTTTCATTTTGCACCTGTCACGAATGCTTTTTAGTTTTTTGGATTATAAAATGTTACGAACCTGGACAGTTCGTCTTCTTTTTCATTCACATACCAGTACACGTGATCATTTCTCTTTTTAATACTTCTCCCTTGTCTTCTCATTCACATTCCAGGTATATAGTTCCTTATTCGTATATTTAGTTAGACCATAGTCTATTATTTTTCTCTTTGTTGTCTTCTGATTTTTTATATACAAATCGCCAGATAGGACGATAGATATATTTTTCTCTCTTTATGACGTGACATAGACTTCTAGCTTTTTCTCTTGTTATACTATATATTATCCGTATACTAGTCACTGATGTCAGCCCAATTTTTTCGCTTTGTAGCCGACTTTACAGGCTATTCGCTTATCATTAGTCAAAAAATTCCAAATGCAGTCTGCGAGCTCCTATTAAAAATTTTCAAGTGATTCCTATACCAGAAGTCTGTTTCCTTTATATTGTGACAAACAAACTTAAAATGAGAGAGTTGAGAATCCTCTATCATCTGTTTCTCTAGCAACGAGCAGTCAATGGCTGAAAATCCGAAAAGAAATCCTTTGTTTTATCATTTTCTTCCACCATAACCGAGTAGTCATTTTCTGTAACGCTGAATATTTAGCAGAGAGGCTGATTAAATACTTTTCAAATGCAAACCGCGAACAACGGCTATAAGAAGAATTTGAGTCATATCAAAATAGCCATTAGGACAAAATATAATCACAAAGTGCTCCAACATAAAGATAGGGATCGTTACAGTGGAAAGTAGCTTGTAAAGACGATGAGTCATCGGTCTTTAGCTACCGACTATACAGTCATATTACTTAGTCCTATTCAGTGTGTGCTTATGTGTGTGTGTGAGCGTGTGACAGTCATTTTTATTATATTCATTTTCAACCACTTGTTGCACAATAAATTTTACACACTGGCACTTATTTCATTTTATTTGTCAACCAGAGCTTAGGACCCGGGGATAGAGAGAGTATTCTTCACTTTAGCATTGCCTGGTATATGACATAAAACACGGAAAAGCGTTTTTTAAAAGGTTTATAGGTCTCAATAAACCCTTTTTGATAGTTTATTAATCTACGACTATTTTTTACAGTGTACGTCCAACAAAAAAAGGAAGAAAAACAACAACCTCAAAATCGATAATAAGACTAACATCACCTTATACACAGTGTAGTTAACTATATTAACTTTCTTTTTATTGTGCATATCCATAAGTAAATTCTCTTTTATCTGTCTTTTCTACTCAAGTACATGACAGACGATGAAGAACTTTTATCCAAATATTATGGTGGAATGCTTTGTATCATCGTTGGATATGCCAAATATCGCATAAGTGAACAGACTTTCTTTTATCACTCGTTGTCTCCAATGACACATAGATCTTTCATACATAAATAAGCGGGTATATTTGAGTCAAGCAAAGTTCGTACTTTTCATATGTGTATTATAAATGTAAATGTTTATTAATTTTACAATGATATATTCAACAAATAGACACACAAAACATTAATCACGTACTACTTATACAAAGGCTGCGCGATTACAATTATATACAGAAGGTGCTCAACGACGTAGAATTTGATCTACCACAAAAATACACGTATCTTGATTTTCATAAAAAACCCATCAGTTTTAGGAGGATTGGTTTGTTGACCAGTATGATGAATAGCAGAAAATACCTCAACTGGAAACTTCTCACTTGATGACAATAATGAGTCCTCTTCAACTGTCACCGATCTGTTATATCTTCTTTCGCACACATCACGCACAGTAAATATACATTATCTGATACTTCGAGCACACACATTCTAAGTTCGTAAACATTTATGTAAACATTCGAATTTTTTCTTTCATGCTGTTAACAACTATCTATCGTTCTTTCTCTTCCTACTAAACTGTTCTACTACACACCGGTATATACGACAGTCAATTACGATGAGTGCAGATAATTCAGAAGATCAAAATGCAAACAAAACAAGTTTATAATATGTCTATATTTTATGTAAAATTCAAATGCTCCATTGAAAAAATATGTCCAAGAACTTCTTTCTGCATTTTTCTGAAACATGTGCGGTATTTTTTTCCAGAATGGTGTATCATAGAGAAGCATTTTTTTTAATCGAAACAGCGAAAACGTTTACGTGGACTCCTGGCAGTCGATTTTTAACTTACGAGGGAACTATCCCAAGTGTTAATCACAGATGCTAACGAGAGGTACCCCAATCGATAGAGCTCGACGAGAAAACTGGGTCTTCAAGAAACATTGGGAAAAACGCTTTATGCCACTAGAATCAGCTCGCCGAGCTCTATCGACTGGGGTACCTTTCGTCAGCATCTATGATTAACACTGGGATAGTTCCCTTGTTAGACCTTAGTTGTTCCGAAAACCAAGGATCTTTGGAAAACTCAAGGCCAGTTTCGAGGTTGAATCTCTAGAAAACCAATAAAGGTCTAATTTAAAATCTGGTTTCGTCAGTCAGTTGCTTATTTGTGAGTAATGAAGTCATTATTCGCGTTTTTCTTTTCAATTCCTCATATTCTTTTCACTCGGAAAATCTCATTAATTCGTGATACTCGAATATATTAGGAATACATCATGACAAACCCGTCTGTCGACCGATTTGCCGAAGTGCCTTTGATGCTGCGCCAAGAACCTTTTTCTCTTGTCTAGC